CTGGGCATGCTTCTTTAACTTCGTTTTAGCTGTATTTTCAACTCATGTACTCGATCACGGTCGAATCTTTAATGTGTGTCTAGTTTGTCGTTTTTTCGACGTAGTACGTGGTAAAGAAAACGAAAGGGTTTTGGGTCTAAATTTTAGGTAACATTTGTCATAAATTGCCACGAATTATCATTAAATATTAACATGGCTAAAGAGTGTAATAAATGGTGATTTTTGGTTAAAAATTGATTTTGGCTTTGAACCATACTTTCGAGTATTTCATCACCCGTTTGACCCAGATATAGCGTTGTGGTGTGCTGCGTGCCGAATTGCAACCCCTCGTAACGTGGACGATTTTAGTACCAGGATTTTCTTGATAATGTACCGGGTATAGACAAAGTTTGTGTCTTGCTACCAGCATCGGTCATTTCTGCTGGAAAGTTTTCGTTTTAATCATTTAGTCACGTTTTAATCACGTTTTTACATTTAGTTCATATTATATTGAGTAAACCTTTTGGTTAATATGTTTATGATAGTATTGCGGGGTTAAAACGACAAGTACATGTTACACATATTTTACCAAAGCTTCCGCTTTTATGATGAAGACCATAGTTAAATGTCTGGACGTTCGTATCTCGAGTCATCTGGCAAACATAGATTGGTCTGTAATTGTTGCACTCTTACACAACATACTCTTAGACAAAAGACCGATACGTTTATGAAGGGTAGTACACACATTCTTAAATGTTATAACTACATTCTTTTTCCCGTAAATAATTTCATCATGTTGGTAAACGATTGAATAGCAAAGTTCTTTCATCACAACCATTTATTTTTCACTTTTTTACTGGTTTACTGTGCACTGACACTAGAGGTAATATCTAGTGTCAGTGCACAGTAAACCAGTCAGAATTGCCCTAATGAAGATGACAGACGGTCATCGAAACGTCGGCTCTTGAAAAATAAATGGTTGTGATGAAAGAACTTTGCTATACATTATTATAAATTCAGACTTATTGTACCTTGTTGTATTTCAGCTAATATGACTATTGTCTTGACAATTCAACTTTTTTGATGATATGATGGCTTTGGAGGTGCACCTGTTGTGCCTTCCGTTGCTTATGAATAATTAAATAGATGATATTATCCGCCGTGTTTTGTGTTTCCCAGGGTCAAAAGGTAGGGAGGTTATTCCAACTGTTACCATAGGACGTGGTGGATTGTTTGAAATGCGGAGTCAATCTGTCTCCTCTCACCGCCTTTTGACTGACTGACTGATGCCTGACACGTAGATGAGAAGCAGTTTAAATAAGTGACTTTTACAGCGGACACGGCGCGGTCCCTTTATGCAACTAGTGCTAGTACTGACATCGTGATCTCGTATATATCCGTTATTAAAATCAAATACGACTCTTGGTGGCAAATGATGAGCAGATAGCTTATTGGCGCAGTGTGTTTTGGCTAGTAACATTTAGACAGATTAACCAAAGAGGCTCTAAATGGGCGTCACTCCACCGTCAGGGAAAGGAAGGTAGTGTAAAGTGCCTTTCCCAAGGGACATGGTGAGTATCGAAGCCAGGCCCTATTGGTTCCGTGTCCAATGACCTAACCGTCGCGCTACCGACGCCACGTTGTGCTCGTTAATAACCTACAAAAAATCGCTTAAGCTAGGGCATTGACCTGTCTACACGATAGTGAATGGTAGGGGAAGGAAATACAGGGTTCAAAATACCTCCTGTATATGCAAATTAGAGACATTTGGGGCGTTTGGTCTGACAACGTGGTCGTAATATCAAAGGTTATTCACTGATACTCGGGTTAGGTAGGTTGTAGCCTCTGCTAGCCACCGCGGATTGCTGGAAAAATAGTAGAAATTGGTGGAAATAAAGGGATAGTATACCAGAGAAGATTCCGGGGAATTGAAGATCCAATTCGCGACTCACGGAATAAGATGAAAGACATATGGATCCCTTAGGTTTGTACTGTTGTTATGAGTACACGGATGAAGTAAAAACTCACGGGGACTTACGTTTTTTCTAAGCGCAAGTATACACTAGGGACTATGGCATCAAAGACTAAACACAGACTTATTTCCCATCTCGGCACATGCAAGGGGCACACTGAGAAAGATTAAGCTCTCTTCATGTCCTACTGTTGTTTCATTCTTGGTAGGGATGTTTTCTGTACCTGGTTACAAATGTATCGAGGTGTAAAGTAGACTCACCTCACCGTCCCATAGCAGTCTGTACTGCCGTCGGGGCAACTAAACTGTCAACAAGACTCATCCACCCAGGGCGGTTCTCAGCTAGACTTGTCAGGTGACTCAGGTGTGTCCTGTCCATTCCTTCAGGTCATTAGTCCAGGTCCTTCGAGGGCGCCCTCTCAGTCGTCCACCCTCCGCCTTCCCTTGCAGTGTAGTGTGAGCTAAGGTACCCTTCGCTCTGTACAGTATAGACTCACGTTAATTTTGAAGCTACACAAAAATACGATTGGAAGCATGAAAACGTCACTGATGTGGCTTCTTATTTTTGGCGTGATCTCGTTCAGTAGCAGTAAGTAGAGAGGTTGTTTTGACGTTATTTATTCCTGTTTAATTACCTTCTAGTGGAAAACACAACCCTAGTGACCTAAAGCATACCCTTACATCAATATAGCAGATAACGAGCAAGGTTTTGTTTACAAGTGTGACAGTACATACAGTTTTTTGTTTATGATATAGATTAGGCTCTGATTTATTGTTTTGTCTTTTATGTTTACGAAGTGATGCATTTCATTCCTTTTATACGTTATGGGGTATGTGTATATGTGATGTTTCCACCGAATCAAAACAACTACTAAAATGCTCGAGAACATTCTTACAAAGTTGTTCTAGTGACAAATGCATATGTTGTAATAGTTGGCAGTAAACTTAGCACAATATATCATTTCTTATAGTTAACAACTTGAAGGTTTATGATGTCTTAATTTCCAAATGTTGGAATCTTTTTTTTTGCCCGCCTTATTCTTTTCGCCCGTTTCCATAGAGTCTGAGAAGGATATCATCCATAATATTTACCCGAGCAAATTTCTGTCCACACCAAGAATTTTTTTAACGTAGAGATAACGGCATGATGTTCTCAATACTGTGTGAGACCTTAAAAACTTTAAAGTTTTTTAGTAGACAATTCGTTTGGACTTGACATGCTATTCTGCCATATCTTTCATCGATATAAAAACTACGCTGTCATGAAGGTTAAACGAATAATATACAGACTCTGGTATGGCGAATAATAGACTCTACATTTTGATTTGCTTAGTTTTAATTAAACATATAGTAGTCATCTTCACTCAGCTTGAAAAAGACTTATATCATAGTCCTTCGTGGGCATGTCTGCCAAAAATGTAGTGTGGCATACAACGCAATGTAATTCAGCAAAAAGCCTGATACATATATATGTATGTATATTAACTCACCATATAGTAAATCACCATATAGTAGTATGGAAGGTTAAAAATCACCATATAGGAGTATGGAAGGTTACTTTGTAGCATTTATTGTACAATTTATTGTACAATCCGTTACACTAAGGTCTATGTTTCATACAATGATTACACACTACACATTCCTGTCAAATTCAAACAACATACACACAGAGCATACCGGGTCACAACCAAACTGATACAATAATAAGTAAGGTATTATTTATACAATCGTTTAAAGTTATGAAACTACCGACATTTTTTTGTAACGTTTTATTTTATGTATGAATTAATAAGTTGCTAATTACAACAATCAATATGTTATGAACAAGGTTGATGGAGTAAGCCGAAAATTTGGGTAAGTCCCAATTCTGTAATTTTGAAGTGTTGGAAGTTAAAGCTTAGTCTTTATTTCATAATGACTTGTACCAACACACTGAACTTTCATGTTAACAATCAATATGTATATTGATAGTTTTCTCCTTGATTACATATATCGTTAAGTATTGAAATTCGTCTTACAGCATAATGCCACGTTAACATTTCTTTGCTTAGAAGCAATATCTTAAAAATTTTATATGATCTATAGAAAGTGTTAATTACCTCTGATTAGGATGCAAACGTTATTGATATGGAATTTACATAATTACTCATCAAAATAAACTATAAGTGAAGCATACTTGTAAAATATTATGGTAGAGAAAAATATTTTCAGATCGCCACCAAATTTAAAGGAATTGTGTAGAAGACTATCAATTGATACAAAATTAACTGGTAAGATATTGTCACAATAGATTGAAGTTCTGAAACTTTCGTTTTTTTTTCGTTTCTTTTTTTAATGTTTTGTTTTATTTGTGTCAATAATGACGCAAATACGTTTCTAATTAGTGCAGTATATATAGCTTACTCGCCATGAAGTACATATATAGCTAAATGTAAAATTTCTTGTTTTTGGCAGAATATACTATTTAAACACTTTCTCATTTTCAAATGATGCTTACATTTACACAATGTAAGCATAATACAGTTCATATTTGGTTAACTTATCAGTATAGTTAGTATGGCATTCCAATCGCTAAAGTATCGCTAAGTATAAGTATATAAAGTTGCAATGATGAAAAAAAACGGAATTATGGAATTTCTTTCTTAGTTAACATACACCATTTAAAAACGCCTTAGTTTGCATAAATTGTGCCTGATTATGTGTATTGACTAAGGCTACCTATGTGCATTGGTGGTCTCCTCATCCTAACATCCTAAATAGACCCATTTAAACTGCTTACGTCACATTTCAAATAGAGGGGACATTTCAAATAGAATGCGGAATTCGAACGCAGCTTGCAGAAAAGTCACACGCTGAGACGGAGCTAGAATCAAGGAAACCAAAATGTACCAATCAAGAAGGATATACAACTGAAATATTCATTTAGTCAATCCGTGCGCCGCATAAAACCTTGAAAAAGACAAACAAAAAGATGGAGAGGCAGGTGCGTCCGAAGGAGCTGAGACATTGAGAGAAAAAAAAAGTAGAAAACAAGGTAGGGTCAAGGTAGTCAGCAGATGTAAGGTATCCCAAACGTTGTTGGAGATGGTTAGGGCATATTCTACGTACGAGCAAGAACAACCATTCATACGTTCCCCTCAGATGGACTCCCAAGGAAAGCTCCTCTAGGCACATGGAGAAGGACTGTGGAAGAAGAAATAAAGACAACCCAAAAGACCTGGCATGAGAACGGATGGCTGGGCCAAGATTGGAACGGCTGGAAGAAGTTTGATGGTGCCTTGGTCTCCAACGGGAGCAAAGGTGATTAATTAAGTAAGTACTCGGGTCCGTAGAAGGCGAGGTGCTTGTCCAGTGTTAGATACAGCTGGCTGAAAAGCGGCCGCTGGATGGGCTGCCAGCGCCAACACTGCTGCATCAGATCGTACCTGTGGAGAAAGCGACATCTACCGATCGTCATTTGAACTTAAGCAATTTAGGTCCTCGGGTAAAATGCATTATGGCCTCATGGTTTACCTTATTGCTATTCACAAAATTTGGAGCATGTAAAAGTGTGTTGTATGGAGTTTCAGTTTCGAGCAATAGCATGCATTTTTGAGGTTGAGCAGGATAACGTAAATAGTTACCGGGTGTATTTCGATGATATGGGTGCTTCTGTTCCTAACTAATACGTCATTCTATGAAAGAGTTAAACTTGTCCGAATGCTAACAATAAGTGTACATAAACAGACTTACATGGCTCGCGGACAGTCTTCAGGTTGGTCCATCCTGAATCCAGCCTGTAGGCGGTCTTTCAGCTCGGATACTGCAACGCCTGGGTAAGGGTCGCCCCCTAGCGTGCAGATCTCGTACAGCACTATCCCGAAGGACCACCTGTTAAAAGTTGATTTGAAGTCACAGTAACTTTGAGAGATGGCCTTTTAGAATATGGGTCTGGATCAGGATTGGTCATACTATAGATAGTATAATAAGACTACTCACACATCGCTCTGTGTGGTGTTAGGTTGGAGTTTGAGATTGGTTATCATGTTTAACTGCAGGTATTATCATGATAAGACTCTTCACACAAACAAACAAACAAACACATCGCTCTGTGTGGTGTTAGGTTAGAGTTAGGGATTGGTTATCATAGTTAACTGCAGGCATTATCATGATAAGACTTACACATCGCTCTGTCGGTGTTAGGTTACAGTTTTGGATTGGTTATCATATCTAACTGCAGGCATTATGATAAGACTATTCACACATCGCTCTGTTTGGTGTTAGGTTAGAGTTAAAGTTTGATTATAGTAGTTAACTGTAGATATTATGTTAAGATTACTCCCACATCGCTCTGTGTGATGTTAGGTTAGAGTTAGACATTGGTTATCATATCTAACTGCAGGCATTATGATAAGACTACTCACACATCGCTCTGTGTGATGTTAGGTTAGAGTTAGACATTGGTTATCATAGTTAACTGCAGGCATTATGATAAGACTACTCACACATCGCTCTGTGTGGTGTTAGGTTAGAGTTAGAGAGTTGATATTATAGTAATTAACTGCAGGCATTATGATAAGACTACTCCCACATCGCCCTGTGTGGTGTTAGGTTAGAGTTTTGGATTGGTTATCATATATAACTGCAGGCATTATGATAAGACTACTCACACATCGCTCTGTTTGGTGTTAGGTTAGAGTTAGCGAGTTGATATTATAGTAATTAACTGCAGGCATTATGATAAGACTACTGCCACATCGCTCTGTGTGGTGTTAGGTTAGAGTTAGAGATTAGTTATCATAGTTAACTGCAGGCATTATCATGATAAGACTTACACATAGCTCTGTCTGTGTTAGGTTAGAGTTTTGGATTGGTTATCATATCTAACTGCATTATGATAAGACTACTCACACATCGCTCTGTTTGGTGTAAGGTTAGAGTTAGAGAGTTGATATTATAGTAGTTAACTGCAGATATTATGATAAGACTACTCCCGCATCGCCCTGAGTGGTGTAAGGTTAGGGTTAGAGAGTTGATATTATAGTAGTTAACTGCAGATATTATGATAAGATTACTTACACATCGCTCTGTTTGATGTTAGGTTAGAGTTAGAGTTTGATTATAATAGTTGACTGCAGATATGATAAGACTACTCACACATCGCTCTGTGAGCTGTAGGCTTTCCCATCCTCCAGCCGCTCCGGCGCCATCCACTTCCAGGGCACCCTCTGGAGCCGGTCCTGCCGACGGTACCCTCGGCTGTAGATGTCTTCTGCCAGCCCGAAGTCAGAAATCTTCACATGCAGGCGTTTTCCGACCAGCACGTTCCGAGCGGCCAGGTCTCCGTGGACGTAACGAGACCGGGCGATGTGATCCTGGAACATGAACAACACATAAAGTTCGTAACGGTTCTGCTATTTTACATCAGTCTTGGCTAAGATCCAGCCAACCAATGCTGCAATTATGACGTTTCGTTTGGGAGCATTTGATGTATTGTATATTGTAATCCACAATTGTACAGATGAAATAGATTCTTATGTACTGATTTCATGCATATGGTCTGCATCTGGTGCATTTGTGGCACCTAGTACAGCTGTAGCACTGGGTACGTCTAAATCACATAGCACATCTATACTGGAATTTGCAGCACGTGGAACATCTGCAGCAATTCCTACGTTGTGCAGCACCTGGCACATGTATCTCTGCAGCACCTGATAGTGGTACTTACCATGCCTCTAGCGATCTGCCGGGCCACCTGATACATCTGTATAACCTCAAAGGTGTAGATATCGTCTCCAGGTTCATCAGAGGTCGCTTCCTATGGAAACGCAAATATAAAGGCATGTTGTAAAACATAATTAAAAGAGTAGACTAAACAAACTTTTCTAACGTCCAAATGGCACAAACATATATAAAGTAAAAACTAACCTTTTCCAGAATGCCCCTTAATAATTTGGTCCGTTAACTAAAAATACACCATCCTGATCATTCTTAATCGCTTGCAGAATTCAAGAAATACTTCTTGGGGTTCCTAGCTCCTAGTTGAACGTACCACATTTCAGAAAAAACAAACAAACAACCATGTGTCTCACCTCCCGACATTTTCTCAGAAAGCTCTTCAGGTCTCCGTACGGCATGAACTCCGTGATGAGATACAGATGGTCTCGCACCACCGTGCAGCAGCCGAGCAAACCCAGCAGGTTCTTATGAACCCCCAGGTCCACAACTGCACGGATTTCTTCCAGGAAACCCAGCTTGTCATCCTCACTGGCGTTTTCTGTGGATTAAGAAAACATTCAAAACTGTAGCGTTACGTACTAGTGGGAACTATAGAAATAGGGATAATCATACATGATCAAGGTAACTAACAGGCGTTTTTCTGTGAATTTTAGAAAATGTAAAGAGCTTTGAAAAAACATTTACATACAGAGTTTTGTGTATTTTACATATAGAGTGCAGATCTGGAAAACCACACTTTCCATTCAGCCACGTTCAGAATTCATGCACATCTAGATTAAAAGTGCGTTGGAATATTGTGTGAAATACGTACAAAGCCATTAATGTAAAAACAAACAAAACGTAATTTGCATTCGAAACCTTTCAGAGTTTTAACGACGACGTCCTCCGTACGGTCGTCCCGCGTCAGGGTTGCCCGGTAAACGATGCCGAACGCCCCACTGCCGATCTTCTCACCAAGCGTCACCCGGCCGGGGTCGGTCTCTAACTTCGGGAACTGTGGTCGGGCTGGAACCGGCGGGACCATCTCCTCCAATCTCCTCCTATGGACTATACAACAACGTGGGGCAAGGATGCTAGGGTAAATGTCGAGGAGAAAAATTCGATTGAAAAGATATTGTCATTTATCGACGAAGAAAAAAATCCATCCAGACTATTTCCTTTTGTGTTAAGTGCATGTAATTACGCGAGTTTTGACATACTATCAAATAAAAAAATGGGACTTGAGGGTAGCTGTGTCAAAGAATCTTTTCAGAAGACCAGAACACCTATTGGGATATATAGATAAATATATAGAATTTCCCATAACCCTATCCAGACCTGGGAGAGGCTAAAAGTGCCCGAGCTAACTTTGATGTCGGATAGCGTCTGAGCGGCTTGCGCTAGAACCAAATCAAGAAACTTCATGAGTTTTCCCAAAATGTTTTTGGCAACATTTTTTCGGGGATCAGTGTAATAAGTTAGTGACATTTTGTGTTGCCACGGCAGCGCGTTTCTGACAATTATTTTTGGTGAAATTCAGTAATTTTCGTTTTAATAGACTGTAATGGGTTTATGTCAAGTGCCTCATTCTTTCTAATTTCAATAACATCTAATGCAATTAAATGTAATCTTTATCATTAAAAGCGCATACGTTATGCTAATTTGAAGACGTTATTGGTCAAAATTCAGGATGGCGGACCATACTGTATATTGTTTACGAGTTCTGAAGGGGGCAATGATTACCGCCCCCCCCCAACCCACGAATCCCCCCCCAAAAAACGGTCTAGATAGGGTTAGAATGTTGTCAACTACACATACCTTTGACTTTGAGTCAATGGTGTTTAAATGTCAATTTGTAGATAAACCTTATATAATAAACGATGAAAAAAATACAAATTCATAACTTACAGTCCTTCAAATGAAAATTGGAAACCGTACTCACTGATAACATCATCTGGTACAAAGTAAACAGTCGATTGTTGGTAGTTTTCTTCTTTTCTTTTCTTCCTCCTACGTCTTAAGTACACCGTGAAGACGACAGCTGCCACAATCAGCAATGCGGCGATACCGGCACTGGTGCCGCCGATAATGGCTTCAGTGGACGTGCGACTTTCCTCTGTAGGTACTGTGTGGGTGTTAGAATATTTAGGTTTCTTTTCTGGCGTCAGAACGGCAACACCAGTACTGGTGTTATTAGTGACGAGCGTTGCGAAATAAATGTGGTATGGCAAATCATTCTCCAGATCATGTGATTTGATTCATTTACACGCAATGTAGAAGAGGAAGGACCGATGTCGTCTGTCATTGTGACCTTTTCATAGTCGCGATATACCGACTCAAATTCTTGTCTTCCCCATATCACTTGTACCATGAGATGGGTACAATATGTACATTAGTTTCTGCATGCATTAGAGGGAATGCAATCCCTTTTGTTGTTGATTTTACGAATATTGTACGAAATCTGATTTTTCTGCTAAATTAAATGTAAATAGATGTTCATGAACATATAATAATATTTCCTTAGTAGGTTAGAGTCTTGGATAGGTTATAGTTTAAATAGCCGCCCAAGAGAGCTCTTTTCTTTTAGAATTCAGATCTTAAGAAAATATGAGACAGCAAAAAAGGCTTCAGTAACTCACGTTGGCAAGTCGGAATGTCTCGGTTCCAGTTGCCGTCCTCTTGGCAGGTTGCATCGGACCTACCCACGAGTTCGTACCCAGGATTACAAGAGAACTGGATGTCGTTCCCAGAGCAGTAACCGTTAGTAGCATTGACTCGGCCGTTCATGATGTCGGTGGTATTGTCACAGCAGATACCTGATAATATATAAAGCTGGCATGAAGAACATTAAATGCTCTGAAAATTAAATTTTGAAAAAAAATCTAATAAAAATATCAACAGAAATACATACACCACCCCAACCATCTCCGTTTGAGGGCCTAGTTTGTTCAAATACGCTGCTTACAGTGATGCTACACTCTTTACTTTCTGGTAACGAAAAAGAGCGTACAACATAAATTCTTCCAGAGAAAAAAAAATGTCAACTCACGTTGGCATGTCGGAATCTCCCTGTCCCAATTTTTGTCCCGACAGGAAGCGAAGGAGCTGCCCACAAGCTCATATCCAGTATCACAAGAGAACTGGATGGAATTCCCAGAGCAGTAGTCATTATTAACCGTGATCTGGCCGTTCTTTATCCTGGTTGTGTTGTCACAGCAGGTCCCTAAAATTACAATTGTCAAAAAGGTTATCCTTAGCCTTTTTTTCTTCAAAGCAATATCAAACTTGTTACGACAACGCATGTTGGATACGTCGACTTCTCCGCAGCGGAACATGGCTGATGATAATTTTTTTTTTATTTCAACACCCAAAAATACAAAACATAGTGGTGACGCTCTCAAGCAAAAAGCTTATATTGACGTCACCACTAGACATTAAATAAAAATTACATTACAAAACATGGGTATCGTCCAGTAGGTAACAAGAGAACAGAGTTTAGCTATTAAGATATTATAAATGAATACAGACTGAACTAGAAAGGCCAATATTTGCTTTGGAGCAAATACAGCTATGGGTTCACCACATTTTACGACATGGCAGGGAAAGAATGAGAAACACAAGGGAAAACAATGATTTACATTGATATAACTATAATATGAAGTAACATACGACTAAAACAACAGTTGGATAGCTATTCCCTACTTTATTGGTTAGGATTTTTAATTGCATAATGCAAACTGTTGATTTTCAAAATAAAAATAACGTTCATGCCCCGCATTCCAATGCTGGAGCAGGAAAGCTTGAAATACCTACCAAAACACTTGAATACAGACATACTGTCAGTATGGAAATGCTCTGTGCAGGTGTTAATCAAGTTAAATCCCAACAGCCAATCAGCAAGAAGAATAGAGGAAAGCTGCATGCCTATTGGTTGATGCCCTGCATTCCATTGTGATGACTCATACCCAAACGTGGTAAACATAGCACACTAACACAGTAATACATTTGATATAACACAGCCAAAAAACTCAAATAAAACCATTCTAAAAGCCTGTATCACAAAAATTAGAAAAAAACGCCTAGGGGTATTTGCCCACTGTACCTCCATACCAAATTTCAGGACCTTAGGCCCTAAAATAAAGAAGCTGAATCCATTTAAAAATGGCAGGAGAAGAAGAAGGAGGAGGAGGAGGAGAAGGAGAAGAAACACCAGAAAAAGCAATATGGTTTCACCTCACCACTTCGTGGTGTGGTGAACCCATAATAAATGAATATTAATCAGTTGTTAAATGGCTTAGTTTCAGAAAGATATAGCTGTGTAATAATGAGTATTTGAGAGTTGACTTTAGATGAAAGTAAATGTGATCCATTCAGTAGCAGATACACAATAACATTATCGGATAAGTTGTTATTGTACATCCATGCCCGTCGTGGCATGAATATACAATAAAGGTATTTCATTTCATTTCAATATCTAAGAATGGGATGTTTAATTGTAAAAGTCTGTCGAGGAGGCGTACACTATGTTGGTTGTATATTGGGCAGTAAAGTAACAAGTTTTTTTTTTAAAGCTGACATTTCGGCTGACGAAGGTTTTACTGCCGTTATTGAGGTTGTTGAAGTTGTTGAAATGATATTACCCAAGTTAATGAAATTGGTACAAGACCACTTAAAGAAGAAAACGCATCTGATATATGTATGTAACTCTTCATATATACATGTACATGAAAAATAGCAATTTTGAAACACGCAGCACTGTGGCGATTTTGATGACAGCACATGCTACACAAATGCTTCATATTGACATTCCTGAGTAAGAACAATGCAGCAGGCAAACGTAAAAGTGCAAACATAAAAAAGAAACATAGAAACTTCTCGAGGACTTTTCATGCAACAACGACATCTAGCGACATGCGGCATGTCTGCAGGCCTAGTCATACGTCAGGACTTGAACAATTAGTTTTTGAGCGTTAAAAGCAAAACAGCGACTGTTAAAAAGAAAATTAAAAAAAAAATCCTCTCCGGGGATCGAACTCGCTATGTGCACACCCCGCCACCGCCACTCAGCATCGCTACCGCTTGAGCTATCTGATTGCGTAATTGTCTGACTGCCTAAGCAACATAGTATACATAGCGATCCGAGAAAATTGGGCAGGTCCGAGCAGGATGAACGAATTATGATTGAAGCATGAAAGCCCGTCTTTAAAAAGAGTAAGTATCAAACGTATTGACATTCCTGAGTAAGAACAATGCAGCAGGCAAACGTAAAAGTGCAAACATAATAGAGAAACATAGAAACTTCGCGAGGACTTTTCATGCAACAACGAGATCTAGCGACATGCGGCATTATTTTTGTCATTAACATAATTTATGCAATTTTCTTTAGATTTGTAGTACGATCAATAAATTAGCGCCTAAAAACTTATGTAACCATACTTCGATCAAAGATATGTCACTAGATGAGACTGTTACTAGATAAAGTTTCTTTTTGTAAAGAACATGGAACTAAAAGCAAGTCTATTGCATACACCACAAACCGGAAAGAAGTAAACAGGTATTGCATGGCCTGCAGTGTTACCAAACTACCAAACAAAGAAACAAAGAAAGAAGGATGCGCCGCCGAAATGTAAAAAAAATGAGGAATGCTTTCGCTTCGGAACCCGCAGCTGCAAGAGGGACTTGTAGTTAGTTTACGTCTAAACAGACTATGATTTATTGTAGCAGCACGCAGTATTAATAGGCGCCCCCCGGAGTCTGTGACGCGGGTATAGAAAGTAGTAAAGCGAATATTCTTGAAGGCTGGGTAGAAAGCCTGATAAGAGCGTCAGCCAGACGTAAATTGCGCTGTGTGGTGTAGGAATGTATCGGGTTTGAGACTGTATGATTTGAATTGTGAAGGTTTTGCAGTTCGTGTATAAATGCGCCGTATTACGCAACTGGCTTTCCGGGTGAGTCGGCTGCAGTTCAAGTCACGTCCGTGGAGGGCGATTTCAAAGTGTACGTTACGAGTGGATACATTAGGATTAGGAATCAGGATTTTTTTATTTCTAGATATTTTGTAGTTTGTGCCTTCTTCTCAAACATATTCGATTTTCGTATTTGTGAAGTGCATCCTACTATAATTTTTTACCGCGTCGAAGTGAGTCATCTCGGGGTCCTTAATTAACTATAGAAATCCCCATAGGGCGAAAACTGCTACCTTCAATAGACACTTCGTTGCAGCGTAATTTTCGACCAAATTTGCTTGGTATACCAAGTACTTACGTTGACTCGCTTGAAATGTATCAGTTTGTTTCACCGTCAGACCCCGTTGCCATGGGAACGGCCACTATGACCGCCGCCTATGCTTAACTGTGGGATTTAGTATGGAAGTGCCACCGGCCCAAAGCCGCGCT